GCATGACTATAGTGGCGCTGGTCCATACTTCTGTTCACGGACCACCTCAGGTTAGCTGCAATATTGCTGAGCGCTTAAGGCTAACGAAATTATTTCTAATTAAGACAGGTTGGTTTGTATGCAGTAACCCATGCTTGTTGTTAGAGGCGACTACTAGGTTCGGGTGGTTACACTCACTCATTTGCCCGACACACGTCATCGTAGGCCAATCGTGTAGATCGTGGTTTGCACCGTTGTTCAGAGGGATTGTCTGGTCCCGTGAAGATCCGGGATAGAAAGTGCCTTCAGTAACCCGTGCTTGTCGTAAGTGGCGACTAACGGGATCAGTGGGTCAGGCTCGCCGACTTGGTTGAGCCATGCCATTGGTTCCCAGACGGATGCGCATGCTTCGGATCACGGGATTGTCTGGCCCAGACTCGATTAATTACAGGCCGCCACCACATAGCTGGAATATCGCTGAGCGTGTGGCGTAAGACTAAACTCCACTCATTATTTGCTGATAGTCGCCACATAGCCGGAAATGTCATTAGCAATTGTTGGTAACGCCGCGATTGTCTCTCTTCCTTTGTCTCTTCCCAACACCACCCCTCCTTCCCTCTCGCCCCCTGCACACACACACTATGCATACGCTAAGCACATTATGCAGTGTGGATGGCAGCCACGCGCCTCTGCAGCCCTCACCCATCCGTGGCGCGGGGCTGTTTGGCATGGTACCGGCGGGACTCCGCACCTCTAAATTACAGCTTGCTTGCTTTGCTCTACCTGGATACTCGGTACCTGCTGTTACAGCGGGAGCCCAAAGCTCCCACCTGATGCTTCCGAGGGGAGTGTTGAGTTTTCCCAGCAGTTGGGCTGCCATGCCACGGCGGATCAACTTGTGCACTTTCCCGTCTATGGGTCTGCAAATGCTTCGCTAGCCCGAGTGGGCTTTCCATGCTTCGCGGTTTCCGGCCCTCGCCATCCTTACTGTGCCCATTTGAATTCCAGACAAGTTTTCTGTCTTCATTTATTGTGTTGGCGCTCTCAGGTTTCTTTAACAGTCAGCTCATAACAGCATAGATAATCCAGATATATAACAATGCTTACCTTTAGTGGTGTTTATCGTCATAGATAATCCAGATATATAACAATGTTTACCTAAGAGGGGTTATAGTCATAGATAATCCAGATATATCACAATGTTTACCCCTTTGTGCTGTTATCGTCATAGATAATCCAGATATATAACAATGTTTACCTTTAGTCCTGTTATCAGCATAGATAATCCAGATATATAACAATGTTTACCTTTAGTGGTGTTATCCATCATAGATAATCCAGATATATAACAATGTTTACCTTTAGTGGTGTTATCCATCATAGATAATCCAGATATATAACAATGTTTACCTTTAGTGGTGTTATCCATCATAGATAATCCAGATATATAACAATGTTTACCTTTAGTGGTGTTATCCATCATAGATAATCCAGATATATCACAAAATTTACCTTTAGTGGCGTTATCCATCATAGATAATCCAGATATATAACAATGTTTACCTTTAATGGTGTTATCAATCATAGATAATCCTGATATATAACAATGTTTACCTTTAGTGGTGTTATCCATCATAGATAATCCAGATATATAACAATGTTTACCTTTAGTGGTGTTATCCATCATAGATAATCCAGATATATAACAATGTTTACCTTTAGTGGTGTTATCAATCACAGCTAATCCAGATATATAACAATGTTTACCTTTAGTGGTGTTATCCATCATAGATAATCCAGATATATAACGATGTTTACCTTTTAGTCACGTTATCGTCATAGATAATCCAGATATATAAACAATGTTTTACCTTTAGTGGTGTTATCCATCATAGATAATCCAGATATATAAAAATGTTTACCTGTAGTGGTGTTATCCATCATAGATAATCCAGATATATAACAATGTTTACCTTTAGTGCTGTTATCCATCATAGATAATCCAGATATATAACAATGTTTACCTTTAGTGCTGTTATCCATCATAGGTAATCCAGATATATAACAATGTTTACCTTTAGTGGTGTTATCCATCATAGATAATCCAGATATGGAACAATGTTTACCTTTAGTGGTGTTATCCATCATAGATAATCCAAATATATAACAATGTTTACCTTTAGTCACGTTATCGTCATAGATAATCCAGATATATAAATAATGTTTACCTTTAGTGGTGTTATCCATCATAGATAAATCCAGATATATGACAATGTTTACCTTTAGTGGTGTTATCCATCACAGATAATCCAGATATATAACGATGTTTACCTTTAGTCACGTTATCGTCATAGATAATCCTAGATATATAACAATGTTTACCTTTAGTGGTGTTATCATCATAGATAATCCAGATATATAACAATGTTTACCTTTAGTGAAGTTATCACCATAGATAATCCAGATATATAACAATGTTTACCTTTAGTGCTGTTATCATAGATAATCCAGATATATAACAATGTTTGCCTTTAGTGAAGTTATCACCATAGATAATCCAGATATATAACAATGTTTACCTTTAGTGGTGTTATCCATCATAGATAATCCAGGTATATAACACTGTTTACCTTTAGTGGTGTTATCCATCATAGATAATCCAGATATATAACAATGTTTACCTTTAGTGGTGTTATCCATCACAGATAATCCAGATATATAACAATGTTTACCTTAAGTCACGTTATCGTCATAGATAATCCAGATATATAACAATGTTTACCTTTAGTGGTGTTATCATCATAGATAATCCAGATATATAACAATGTTTACCTTTAGTGAAGTTATCACCATAGATAATCCAGATATATAACAATGTTTACCTTTAGTGCTGTTATCATAGATAATCCAGATATATAACAATGTTTGCCTTTAGTGAACTTATCACCATAGATAATCCAGATATATAACAATGTTTACCTTTAGTGGTGTTATCCATCATAGATAATCCAGATATATAACAATGTTTACCTTTTAGTGGTGTTATCCATCATAGATAATCCAGATATATAACAATGTTTACCTTTAGTGGTGTTATCCATAATAGATAATCCAAATATATAAATAATGTTTACCTTTTAGTGCTGTTATGATAGATAATCCAGATATATAACAATGTTTACCTTTAGTGAAGTTATCACCATAGATAATCCAGATATATACTAATGTTTACCTTGGAGAGGGTTATCGTCATAGATAATCCAGATATATAACAATGTTTACCTTTAGTGGTGTTATCAGCATAGATAATCCAGATATATAACAATGTTTACCTTAGTGGTGTTATCCATCATAGATAATCCAGATATATAACAATGTTTACCTTTAGTGGTCAGGGCTACGTTGAGCTAACGGTGGTGGTTAGGGCTAAGGTTAGGGTGTTATACAAAATACTCTTGTTTTATTGTAATGGGGTTGTATTCAATTCATTCGTAAAAGAATGGGTACTTTTAGAGGTCTAAATATGGAAAAGGGCGCCATTTGGGCTTATTTTTGTCATGTTGTAAAGAAAACACTTGGAGTCTAGGGTAAGTGTTAAGATTGAACAAACGGTGGTGGTTAGGGCTACATTGAGCCAACGGTGGTGGTTAGGGGCTAGGATTAGTGTTAACACTGAGCCAACGGTGGTGAAAAAAGAAAATATTTCAAACTGGTGCTTGCAAAAATTGCGCATCCGCCGGTATGCAACTAGTGGAAACTCTCAACATCGTTGGGCTTTTATCGATGATTGTCCGCTTTTACGAAATAATAAATTCTGTCTGATTAATGAAATCATTATTCTATGATAGATCACAGGTGGGGGATGGGTGGAAGGATGCCCTCCAGAATCCCTCAGCGAAGTTAAACACAAGGTATTAAACTGAAATGATTATTAATACCACAAGTAATAATGTTTCTCTGCAGTAATAGGCTTGATACTTTAATATTAATATACTTTTTTTTTTCAAATCAATTAAATATGCTGTTAATTGTTATAATTTATTCTACAAAAATGATAATATGTCCTGTAGGTATGCATTTGTATGTATGCAATTAAGGTGGTGGCCATGATACCTTCATGCCAAATTCTGGGGATTAGACAGAGGAAATGAGTGAAGGTAATGTATATCTCAGTAACCTTAATATATATTGTAAAATTCAAAATATAATGATTGCATAGCTACAGAAAACTTTTTGGTCATTAAGTTATGTACTCGCTTGTGTTCATCTCAATTGGGTATCATAAATTTCCTTTGAGAAACAAATACATTGTACCCACCTCACTAAACTCAATTGGGTATTTTGCCATTTTCAATTAATTGTTGAAATATAATAACATTGAAATCTTGATTTACATGTTTGGTATTCATATGAGATACTGACATATCATATTTTATCCCATAATGCATTACCTACAGTAAAGTTTTTGCAGAACATTTTGCCAAAAGATACTGTAATGATTTCACTGAATATATATATATTTCTGACTTAAGGAGGTTCCTTACCATTGTTTGTACACCGAATATTTGCGCATGTAACAGCGTTTATCCGGTGAAGAGTTATCTTTTCCTTATCTCGCCGTAAATTCTACTGATAGCAATTACTTCCGTTTACTGATAATGGCGGGAACTGTCAACAACGATGGATAGATCGCGAAAGAGACGTTTCATGTCATCAAAGGCATTTAAGAGGGAAAACAAGATAAGACAGTCAACATACAAGCGCTTTGGGAGTGACCTTACCGATAAGAGTGTTGATTTACAAGAAACAGCAGTTTTGGACAGAGGAGAAAGTGTGACACTGTCAGACGGACTTCAGACAGAGCCCCCAGTTTTCGTGCATCGCTCGTCGAATAATTGTGGAATTTGATACGCTGTACAAGGGGACTCTATTGCAGTAGAGTGCTCTAGCCCTCTGCTTCTACAGAACATTCAGTCAGAAACCAGGATTGGACTTGCTAGCTGTATATAACGAGTGATTGTGGTTTTAAAACAGCGTTCCTACCGGGAAAAGTCACAAGAATGCTGCAACTGGTAATCGCGGTATACCCATTTATGATGTCAACACTAAAGCTGCTGCAGGTATGAAATATATATACAAAAGTTAACGCTTCGTTGTAACTAAATACTGTCAAATGTTGCAGTTTTAACTTTCAGTATTATTATTTTGAAATCCATGAAATTAATGTCATAGGCTATTTAGTTTTAAAAAATAAAGTCTATAAACACAGTAAAAAACCTGTTTTAAAAGTTATGAATAATTATGATCAAATATTTCAATTACAGTATGCAATACCATGAGTAAGTATCATCAACTACACAGATGTTTTACCCAAAGCAAATAAAGGAAATATTTTATAACTTGGTTTACGAAACAGAGCAGCCATTTCATCAATCAGATAAATGAATAAATTGTCATTTTGGGACAATTTGCTTTGTTCAGGGAAATACAATGAAAGATGTGGGCAGAACATGTACATCTATTTCTGAAAGGTCATTAGCATTTTTAAATTCGTAAACCAAGTAATACGATATGAAAGACCTCCAGTAGAGTAGTGCCTCGTAGTCATATCTATTTCAGCCTATATAACTCACTCCCTTGAAACTCCTAACCCACTTTCTTCACCCGCCTGCTTTGCATGTTTTACTATCTCATACACGCTGTTCACATACTATCCTTGAATGAGTATTTTTTTCTCAGGCATTCTTTATGTTTACCACTCTTTTGCAACTACTTACGATAATTGAATAATTATCCATGTAATGTGCAGTTATTACAGCTAATGAAAACTGAAACTTTACTAAATTTTAATGGTGAACAGTTGTCCTCATGTGGAAAACAAATAACATATCTTCCCACAAGGGGCTATCATATAAAAGAAACTCGGTTTGCTGTCTGGAATTATTATGGAAATTAAAGTCGGTTTGAACATCATTGGTCTGCGTTTTAAATATAATTGTGACTACTTCCACCAAGATCAGGGCGTCCCCAAGGCAGCATCCTGTCTGTCACACTTTTAGCATCAAATTTAATAGCCTCACTAACGTTCTGAACAGTTGCGTTGATGGGTCCCTTTTCGTGGATGACTTCAATATTTCATGTCGTGGTAAGAACATGCACGCAATAGAAAGGCAGCTACAACTCTGCCTTAACAAAATCCAAAAAGGCCAATGAAAATGGTTTTAAGTTTTCAAAATCCAAAACGAATTGTATTCACTTTTGTCGTAAATACAAACCACACAAGGATCCAGACGTACTCCCATCAAGGTAGTAGAAGAGGCCAAATTCCTTGGACTCATATTCGACCGCCACCTAACATTCTTACAACACATAAAATATTTCAAAACAAAGTGCTTGAAGGCTCTAGACTTGCTAAAAGTAGTTTCAAATACAGAGAGGAGGGGATCAGACCACCCTCCTTCACTTGTACAGATCATTAGTTCGCATTTAATTAGATTATGGCTCCATTGTCTACGGTGGAGCATGCATAAGCAATTTAGAAAAAAATAGATTCTATCCACCACCAAGGCCTTAGGCGCTGCCTGGGAGCTTTTAGGACCTCTCCGGTAGACAGTCTATATGCGGAGGCCAATGAACCTTCCCTTGAACAACGCCGCATTAAACTCTCACTGCAGTATATCACTAAATTACGTTCAAATGAGTCCAATCCAGCATACAATTGTGTTTTCAACCCGCTCTATGAAAAAACTTATTTCCTAAACTGCCAAGCCTGGTTCAACCACTTGGAATCAGGATCAAACCACACATATCTGCAGCTAAAATTGATCTCAACATCATTGCACCATACCAACTTCTGTCCTTACCACCATGGCAAATGGTGAAACCACAGGTCGATCTTACCCTCACCAAACTCAAAAGTCTGAAACAAATCCCTTTGGTGTTCCAACAGGAATACAACCAGTTACGTTCGAAGTATAACACTCACAGATCCATCTTCACAGACGGATCCAAGGACGATGGCCAAGTTGCCAGCGCTACAGTCATTGGAGCCAAGACTGTCTCCCTCTAGGATCCCCGACAACAGTTCCATTTTCACCGCTGAAGCCAAAGCTATCTTCTCAGCTCTGACCTACATTCAACAGCAAAATCAGTCCAAAACTTCATCGTATTTACAGATTCATTATCCTGCCTTCAAGCACTTCTAAACGTGACTTCAAGTCACCCAATCATCCTGGACATATTAGAACTGTACAACGACCTTCTACTGGCCAATATGACATCATCCTCTGCTGGTTGCCAGGTCACGTCGGCATAGCAGGTAACACTAAGGCCGATGCTTCAGCAGTGCTGCAGCTCTTGAAAAGCCCCTATCTCCACTGCTAATCCCGTACAGTGATTTCAAAACCCACTATCAAAAGCTATACTCGGGACTTGATGCAAAAAAGATGGGACACTCAAGTAGGAAGAAATAAACTCCATGAATTGAAGCCAACAATCGGTTATACCTACTTGGGTTGCCAGTCAAGACGTGATGAAGTAATTTACGACGATGTCGTATTGGCCACAGTCGGTTTTACACATGACTATTCATTAAAAACGGATGGGGATGGACCCCCATATGTCTCTCCTGCGATGAGGTTCTCACCGTCAAGCATATTCTGCTTGACTGTGTGGATTTTACATCTGCAAGGGACTCGCATTATCACGCAACCAATCTTGAAAAGATCTGTTCTCCAGCGTGAGCGCTGATCTGATACTTCAAACTACCTGAGGGAAGTCGATCTTATATCATAAAATGTAACTGTGTAATGTCAATAACGAATGTACCTGCTTTTCAATTTAGTGCTATGACATTCTCTGTTCTAAAATGACAACGTAATGAATGTCTGTCTTTGAAACGAAACCACTTTGTACTTACAATGTATATTAATGCAGACTTGTTCTCGTCACTATATGGCTGGAATAATGCCGATGTGACGTAAAGCCCAACTCAACTCAACAACTCAAAATATAATTGTCATCATCTTTATGGTATGATTTTATAATATTGATATTACAGCTATGCTGCACTCTGGGTTTGGACATACACATGTGTCCAACTGGCTGGTTTTCGCAATGAATATACCCACCTTTATCTGATTGCACAATGAAGAGAAGAGAGAGAGAAATAGGACCACTAATTGAAAAGGTAGCCCGTAATTCATGCCAGGTACGTGTATTGCAAAATATAAGCAAAAGTACCACACAAGGACACATAACCAATTTTATTATATACTTGACCTGTCACTGATGATGAGATAAGTTATATTCCACTGGAAACACAAAATATCCTGTATTTATTTTTCAAGTAGAATATTATTAAAATAGAAGAAAGAGTAATGCACCTCTCTACACAAGATATAGGATTTTTGTTAAAGAAGAAAGGCTGCAGCCACAAAATACTGACTGACTGAGTTTAGTTTTACGCCGCTTTAGCAATATTCCAGCAATATCACGGCGGGGACACCAGAAATGGGCTTAACACATTGTGCCCATGTGGGAATCGAACCCTGGTCTTCGGCGTGACGAGCCAACGCTTTAACCACTAGGCTACCCCCACCGCCCCCGCAGCCACAAAAATAACATAATAATTCATTGTCTCCATTTTTCATTGATGTTAGTCTATTTGTTACTCTAGATAACACTCATATACACCTTGAAATTAGGACAATTTCGTATGGCTTTGCAGTTAGGTACATTTAAAAAAAATAATTTCAATTTAATATTTTTGGTTGCACAGGAAACCCTTCAGGTAGAGATTACACTTGCCAGGGAAACAAGAGATGACAATTCTCAACCAGTTGAACTTACAGCAAGCTATGACATAAGCTGGCAGAGGAGTACTGGCAGAGTGTACAATTCAAAATCAGGCAAGTCTGTTACTTCCTCTTATGTTGGGTAACACATATTTTGTTGTGCAGTACTAGTAGAGTGAGATCATGCTATCCAATGCTGTAGGACTGGGACTGTATTCTCGAAACTTACATTAGTCTAAAACTTCTAAATTGTTCGTTTCTCATTAAGTGACTTTAGGGTCACAGGTACATATCATGCCTCTAAGTAAAAGCATTTCTTTATAGGGCAAGCATTCTTGGTCCTAGAAGAAAAATTGCAGCACCCGAATATTTTCATACTTTGCCGATGTCTTGAATTTCCTTTTAATTTAGCCAGAGATATGCACTGTCAAAAAACAAGGCCTATCGCGAATTTCGACACATTTTTCTGTATTTTGGTACCTAGTCTTTTTCATGAAAGTTAAAATTTCTCTCTGACCTATTACATAAAAAATGTTTACTTGATACCTTCATACTTTGACTATGTCTTCTAAATTTAGCCAGAGAGATGCACTGTCCAAAAGGGCTTTAGTGAATTTCTAGAAGTTGTATCAATTTTTTCTGTATTTTCAATAGTTAGTCTATTTCGAACATTTTAAATTTCTTCGACCTTCGTCATGAACCATATTGAAGTTAAGGAGATATTCCTTTGAAGCATGGAAGGCGTAATAATTATCTATAGTATTTATGTACCCATGAAAAGGAAATAAAGTGATAAGAAAAATAATAATAATAATCCTGTTTTATTTTTAGGTCATGGATGTTTGATTGGACAAAACACAGGAAACGTAGTTGGTTACGGCTCACGAAAAACACTTGTCGGATATGTGAAAAATGCAAGCAAGAACAATGTCACTGTGCCTAAACATGATTGCAGGTAATAGCATTTACTTTCAGTATATCACTTTCCTATCCCCTGGACATGGTCACAAATATAATGCTCTATTTATTGCCAAAGTCAATTTATTGATATGTTTTAGAAACACCTATTTCAAGCACAGATTCAAGTTGGTACTAGTGATCACCTTTGATACTTGACATATGTATTCCTTGTAACAAGACCTACCAGATAAGGTCATGAATTTAGACCTTGTGACCTTTTACCTTGGCATAGGACACATTTTACCTGGGGCATCAGTGTTTGACAAACACACCTTGTTTCATAATCTGAACCATTCTGTGATTATCCAAAAAATAAAAGCCTCTAAGATGTGCCATTTGGTATTTTCTTTGTTACATTTATATTCATTCATACCTAAATTTATTTTTACAGGTATAACTGGTCTGGCAGTGCCTAATCCATGGAGTCAAGTCTGGGTGTCGATCTCCTGCAGCAATCCTCAACAGATGAATCATCATGGATGATGATACAACCACTCTGTCACACATCCGAAAGAATTACGATGCAGAAATAGTAAAGTGGAGTGACATTAACCATTCAAAGAAAAGCCTCAACAACCACTTGTATAGATTAGCTAAAACCTACAGGAAACTTATACGGAAAAGTGATATCATATTTGAAGAAATGTTACTCTTGTTTTGACCCAGAATAAGGATGATGTGGAGGCTGTCAGAAGTGGATTGAGGTCCATCGTACCTCATGTATTTTGGGGACCACAAGGACTGTGGATCATGGTGTGGGTTTCTCACAAAAGGAGCAGCATACAGATACAGTTGTCTTCTGCGTGGCCAGTGTTTGGAAGGTGATAAGGTGATCTGCAGGCTGTCTTTGAAGTCCATGCTTTAAATGATGAGAGATTAGCACCTTTAGGGGAGTACCAAGGCCAACGAGTCTTTCAACAACGTCGTGGCAAGCAAAGTCGTCACTATTCTAGCTCAGAAAGTTTGGATTTCAGGATTGGTGCTGCAGTCTCACAGAAGAATCTCGGGCCAGGATATCTTATGTCTGCCTATAAGAAGAAATGTATTTCCCTGGAAAGGCTCTGGCACTGAAGGCAAAGTAGCTCCAAAGAAAAGCTGCTAGGAGAGAAGGCTCAGTCTACGACAAAAGCTTTCAAGAGAAGGAGACTGCATTTGGCGGAGACAAGATGCAAGTTCAGAGAAGAACATGAAGTTCGAGAGGTTCAGACATACGAGACCAACATAGCATTATCTGATGTACAGGATGTAACACAGATACCAGACCCAGAAGTTCTTCCTGTGAGCAAGCGAGTTGATGTTGACGATTACCAGTTGATAATGTTCGACCTGGAAACCTGTTCTACATAGTGGGACACTGACATATAAGTCAAATCAGGGCTGTGGTAGATGAAGCCCATGTTTTTAACAAGTACATTCTTCCACGCAAACCAATCAGTCATTTTGCATCAAAGTTACACATCTCACTGTTCATGAAAACACTTTATTGCACAGAGGTATTCCTGTAGAGACTGTATCTGCACATTCAGCTCTAACAGATTTCATTACATGGATGAGAGCTTTCAATTCTTTGATTATCCTAGTCGGACATAATTCTAAAATCTTTTGATTCTGCCCACATTTGCAGGGTTGCACAAGAGTACCAGCTTTTGACGGAAATGAGTGAAGTTGTCCATGGTTTCATCGATACTCTTCCACATTTCAGGAAGTGTTATCCTTTATTATCATGCCATAAAGAAGAATATCTGGTGGAAACATTGTTGAAAAGAAATTTGATGCTCACAATGCCTTGGCAGATTGTCTTGCCCTTCGTGAACTAGTTACACTAAATGACACAGACCTATTCCAGCATAGCTTTGGAATGGACTGGGCAGTTTTGCACATGCAGTACTTGAAAAGAAAAACATGAAAATGTGAAAAAGCTTTTCTGTAGCTGTCAGGAAAAAAGTGCTCTCAAGAGTGAGTGAGTGAGTTAATATTTAACGTCACATCGGCAATATTTCAGCCATATCGTGACGAGAACATTTGATATTGAAATGAAATACATGTATATTATAAAAACCTGCTGACGAAGGACAGCAAAACAACCAGAATATCACAGATATATATGTAACACAAGTAACTGAATCTAAAACATTTCAACTATAGGGGACAACACATATGAAAAATGTTATTGATCGCTAACAACTGAAGGTAGATCACCATACTAGGGACCATGGGGACTTACAGTACATTTGCTTCCTGCATAGACCCTAGCTGGATTTACATCATCCCCGCAGCTGTTAGCAATTGAGATATACCTAGCCATACATTAAAATTACACATATCTCTACGATTAAAAAAACGGAAAGTTGAAATTTACTTTGAATGTTTTAGACTTGCGTACCCTCTCAGGAGGACAATAATTTTACAGTACTTTCAACCCCTCGAGGATACAGCTACTAACAATCTCAGTTACTAATTCAAACTTCCAATCAAAAAATATTTAGCTATTTACAAATCAGTCAACAAGTCTAATTCTTTTAAAAAGTCAACTATCAAATTATAACTAATATTATAAAAAAGATCCTTCAATGTTTTGACATTGTGGGAACTTATCCCTTGTGATGGAATATTCAACACAGTCGCTATAGGACATGCTTGACTGTGATTCTGTCATCACAAGGGATGCAAAACGGGAGGATCCTCGCCTTTCAGTAAATATTCATGAGTATATCTAGGTGGCCAATGCGACATCGTCGCATAATGACCTCTTCATATCTGGACTGACAACCCAAGTAGGTGTAACCAATGTAGGGTTTTATTTCATGTAATTTATTAATATTCTTACTTGGGTGTCCCAACTTCTTCTGCATTTAGATCGCGGATGTATGTTCTAATGCTTGCTTAATCAGAGTATGGGATAAGAATTGCTGTTACAGATTTGTTAAGGGCTGCCTTGGCAGTAAGATCAGCCATTGTGTTCCCAAGAACAATGGCAGAAAGGTGTGCAGCTTCAGGATTAAAAATGTGTCATCTCTATCTTGCCTTCCAGCGAAAAGGTGAAGATGGACTCAGAGCCGTGTACTGTCTGAGAAAACAAGTGCTGGAACTGTGTTACAAACAGAAAAAAGGGTCATTGACAATTCTCAGTGACTTTATTTTGAACAGTTGTCACAGTGAATATATTTAACTCCTTATCTAAAGTTTGTCATTCATTATATCATTCATTGCTTCTGACCAATTATTAGTTCAGTCATTGAAGAATTGAAGTATTATGACTTGTATTTGTTATTCAACAGTGGGAGTGTAGACTTTGATGGGTAGTTCGACTGCCAGAGCTTGTTCCATTGTAAAACTTGACCAACTATTAGTACAGTCACTGAAGAATTGAAGTATTATGACTTGTAATTTTTTAAACAGTGAGAGTGTAGGACTTTTAATGGGAAGTTTGACTGCCACAGCTTGTTCATATCCAGGCACTAATGCCTCCTCAAGGAGCTACTTACATTTTATTACCCTGGCGGATTTGTACTTTCAAAGCAGTATGTTCGTATTCACTGATCAAAACAGTTTTTCAGTTAAACAGTAATATAGGAATGAGAAATGTTAGAAGATATTCAGGTATATCTATGGTGCAAAGTGTAACCTTGTTATTCTTTGCAGGAAATGAAGTTGTTTGGCTCTTTATATAATGACTTCACTTTGCAAGAATATCTACTTTCCCTGACATGGTTTTCATATCAACCAACTGTATATAGATGTACCCTTGTTTGAACTCTTGTAAGAATATGCAAAATGTTATGTATCCATTATTAATTAGAAGACTTTTGGTTTATTTTCAGCAGAAAAAGTTTTTGGAACCAGTGTCTGTTGTGACCTAACAAAAAGTTATCTCCCCTTGATCTGAAATGTTGAACCTGGTGATGATTATTATTAAAGTTAACCTGGATACATATGAATATTTCTGTTTAATAATGTTGTTTAATGTTATATCTAATCAAATAAATCATTTTTCGTACAATTTTTGAGATTCATTGATCAAGAT